TAATGCCTGTATATCACTTCGTATGGACAGTTGATCACAAATAGTTTTGGCTTTACTAGTCAATTTCATATGCCCAATGCCAAAATGTCACTTAATATTTTTCACGCTGATCTTTTTTACTTCTAAAACTCTTTTGGTATTCATTAGGAAATCACGTTTTCTAAGCATTCGTAAGTAGAATTATTTGAATGTTAGACTTGGGAATAGTTTCTGAAGGGGTATGCAGTTTTTTTCCCCAAAAATTGATTTATTAATTTAGTAAATCTTTGTTGAGAATCTAGGATTTGCAAGGACTGTTCTGCTCCTGGGATATGGGCCACTGAGGTGAAGGAACCAGACATATAATTCATGCCCTTGAAAAACTAATTAATAGTCAATGGGAAAGAAGGCAGTTGAGAAGTAATTTCAGTGAAGTGCCAGTATCTCTCTCTGGTTAAAGTATTGTGAGTTATGGTTGTCCTTGAATCACAAGAGAAAATGTCCAAAAGATCACCTAACAGTAAAAACAGAATCCTTTTCAATAACTCTAGACTGTGTCAAAAAAAGTTGTTTTCTTTCTGAGCATTTTTATGGTCCTCAGATCGCAAGACTATTCTTTATAGGATGGAAAATTAGACTATTTAAAAATGTATGGATGTTAATGAATGCTAAAATAATAGGATCTAAACACTTCCTCAAATGCAGAAGGTATGGGAATTAAATCTTTATCTGGTCTTTTGAGGAAAGTTTTTACCTAATGGCAAAGTACTTATTATGTCAGAGTGCTTTTAAAAGCATTCTCATCTTGGGGTGCCTGGGTGGCTCAGTTGATTGAGCATCCACCATTGGCCTAGGTCATGATCTCATGGTTCATGAGTTTGAACCCCACATGAGGCTCACTGCAGTCAGCCTGTCAGTGTAGAGCCACAGAGCCTGCTTTGAATCCTCTGTCCCCCTCTCTCTCCCCTGTCCCTGCTTGTGTTCTCCCCAAAATAAATAAATATTTAAAACATAAATAAATAAATAAATAAATAAATAAATAAATAAATAAAAGCAATC